TTTTTCAAGCTGTTGTTTTTTCCCTCAAAGTTTTTGAGTGAATTGTAGTAGTTGGCTTTACTTTTATGGTTCTATTTTTTGCACGAGCCAAGCTACTTTATAACTGACACACTTAGAATCTGAAACGTGTTAAAATGTTGTTAAAGGGATTTTGGTTAGAAATATAGTTTATTTAGCTGGTTTTTGTGAATTTTTTTTTTTACTAAGTTGAAAAGAGATAGAGATCTGGGATATCGTCTTCAGTATTGCCAACTGCGTTATCTTTAATACTTGAACTCAATAGTGTTTGTGTCTGCTGCTGCTGCTGCTGCTGCTGCTGCTGCTATAAATGCGACTGACGTTTGTCAGTGACCACGCACTGGGCCTTCTGTGAGTCCCCGTTCCCTGCTACTGACAGTAGGAGCTTCTGTGTCTGCCCTGAATTCTGCCTTAGCAATTTGCCTTTAACTAAACTTAAGCTATTTTTCATGTATTTTTACCTAGAGAATAATCACAATTCCAGTGAGAAGCACCTTGGTTTGTGGCTATGAATTATACACGTAACGCTCAGACTATCTACTCTCTGCGTAATACATTGTGATAGTCCATCTGCGCAGAGACAGCTGTCCTCTGTTTGTATCAATGCTGCCTAGATTGGTGACGTACTTGTGTGTCACTGAAAAATGCATGCTCACTGCCCTGCTAACAGCATCCTGTACAGTGCAGTAAAGTGAATCATAGTTCTACTAAATAAAGTTGTATTTAATACAGACTCCATCCTGCTTTGGGTTTTGTTTGTTTGGTTGGTTGATTGGTTTTGTTTTTTCCCCCCGAGACAGAGTTTCTCTGGATAGCTACCCTGGCTGTGCTGAAACTCACTCTGTAGACCAGGCTGACCTCGAACTCACAGAGATCCGACTGCCTCTGTCTCCCAAGTGCTGGGATCAAAGGCATCCGCCACCACCTCCTGACCCTGGTTTGGTTTTTAACTTTTTTAGACTCTTAAATTTTACTGTGTGGAGCCTTTAATCCCAGCACTTGGAAGGCAGAGTCAGGAGGATCTCTGTGAGTTCGAGGCCAGCCTGGTCTACAAGAGCTAGCTCCAGGACAGGCTCCAAAGCTACAGAGAGACCCTGTCTCAAAAAATCAAAAATAGTTTATTTGTATGTATACATGAACATACCTGTCATGTCGTGTGTGGAAGTAAGAAGGCAAATATGATAGTTGATTCCCTCCCTCTACCATGTGCCTTCCAGGGATCAGACATAGGTTGTCAGTCTTGGCAGTAGGTCCCCTTATCTGCTAAGCCATCTCATTAGCCCTAGATTTTAATTTTTTGAAAGAAGTACCATGCATATCTCTAGTTCTCAGTAGCCTCCACTAGTTACCAAATTGGACTGTTGAGTTGGAGAAAAATATTTTTTTTGTTGTTATTTATCTAATTTTGTTTTTTACATCCCAATCAAAATTTCCCCTCTTCCCAGTTCCTCCCGCCCCCTCCCCTCCCCCCACAATGTCCACTCCCCCACGGTTTCTTTTCAGATCCAGGCAGGCCTCCTATGGATATAAGACAGCCGTGGTATAGCAAGTTGCAGCGAGACTAGGCATCTCTTCTATTAAGGCTGGATAAGGCAATCTGATAGGAGGAATGGGTTCCAAAAGTAGGCAAGAGAGTCAGAGACAGCCCCTGCTCACTGTTAGGAGTCCCATAAGAAGACCAAGCTCCACAACTGTCACATATATGCAGAGGGCCTAGGCCAGTCCCATGCAGGTTCCCTGGTTGTCGGTTCAGTCTCCGTGAGCCCCAATGAGACCAGGTTAGTTGGTTCTGTGAGTTGTATTATGGTGCCCTTGAGACCACTGGGTCCTACAATCCTTCCACCCCCTCTTCCACAGGATTCCCTGAGATCTACCTAATGCTTGGCTATGGGTTTCAGCATCTGTGCCCGTCAGTTGCTGGATGACATGCCTCCCTGATGACATTTGGGCTAGACACCAATCTATGAGTATGGCAGAATTTCATTAGGAATTATTTCACTGACTTTATTTAATTTTTTTTCCATTCGTGTATATTAGCCAGAGAAGGCAACAAGCCGCTTGGTTCCGTAGAGGATGATTTCCCAGGCCAACCTTCTCTATGTTGCTGCGCTGCAACATTTTGCCACCATTTCCGTCTGGACCACGAGACCACTAAGTTCCAAAAGGCAAGAAAAAGGAGAAATACAATGGCCAGTGCTTTTCAACTCTGACCTAGTGCTGCATCCTGCTCACCTTAGTCCTGGAAACCTGACTGGGGGGAGGGGGCGGACTGAAGAATGAATAGATGGGTACAGGAAAGCTGGAGTCAGCTGGCCATGCCGGCTCTGCTGGAGCACCCCCAACCACCCCAACACCCCAGAATCTCGGCATGTTTATACTGTGCAGCGGAGAGAGGAGAGGTTAGCGAGTCTCTAGGCCACCAGTCTCTGGTTGCCCTCATCCGGCAGAAGAAGCAGCAGTTGTTAGGGTTTGTACACACCGGTCAATAATTCATAGATACTCGTACTTGCGCAGACTGCTACCGTTCACACTTGGACCGGAGAAAAGCTTTGCCATACCTCTGGACCTCGCCAGGGAAAGCTTCGCCACCCCCCTGGGTCTGAGGCACCTTGGTCCTCGACGGGGCCATGCCCATATCAGACAATACACATACAAGACTCCATCTGAACTTTCTACATTCAATCAAATATTTCTCGGCTTCCAACAGCCTAGAAAGAGCTTAGAGCCACTGGTCATACTAGGGTGATGAGGCGCTCCAGGGCACTACAACGGGCTATCACGGGATATTTTTTAACATCTGAGGGGCCTGGGGAGACTTTGAAAGTCAAAAAAATCTATTTCTGTTTTAAATTTTCACACCGCTGTTAAATCTTACTTCTATATATTTTAATTAAAATAGAATTGCATCCCTTCCCCTGCCCTTTCTTCCAACCAGCCCCTTGCATTGTTTTCCTTGATTTCTCTCTAACCCCCAAGACAGGGTTATCACTGAATCCAGAGCTTGCTGATACTGCTAGTCTGGTTAACGCCGGCTTGCTCTGAGGATCCCATGTCTCTACCTCTTGCAATGCTGGGGCTCCACATGGGTCAACACGCCTACCTGGCTTTTAAGTAGGTTCTGGGGCTCCAAGGTCTCACGCTTGCACTAAGCACAGTTTACCTGCTGAGCATCTCCCCGGCTCATAAAGCCCTTATGCGACAGTCTAGTGTCTACTGTCCTTGTTTGATCAGCCCTATGTGGAGCCATCTCACATGGCTACTACTCCCTCTCGTGCAGACGCTCCTCCCTCCTTGCCATCCAAGGCTCCCTCTGCTGTCAGGATGTCTACTACTCTGCTTCCTGTAATGCTGTCTTCCTTGCCTTGCTCACGTCTACAGCTCCCACTAGGCCCTGAAGCCACACAGTAGCTCCACTCTGGGTCTGACCTCCACGCCAGCTGTATCACGCACGACCAAAGATCCAACTGCCTATACCAGGTCCTTCATTCTCCTGTAGACACTCTCCTCATCCTCCTGGGGACCACACATCTCCTGCTGGAACACCCCAAGGGTGACACTCTGCTCTGCATAGGCTGCCTGAATTTTTTAACTCGGCTGATTTTGTGTACGGCACTCTCCTTGTACTGTTGTCTCTGAGTCCTCACACTAGGCCACCCTCTTGTTCAAATACCTTCCTCACTCTGCTTAAACGCTGACAACCTTCATGACGCCGTGCTTCCCAACTGCAACCCTGCTTAGATGCTGAGAGCCGCTCTGACACAAGAAGCCCTCTGCATTTTGTTCAGTCACTTTGCTTAGGATTCCAAGTTTCTTCCCTAAGCCACAGTTCACTCCCAGCCCATCCCACTCTACTCTTTGACTCCGTATGCCAGGCAGCTGACCTCCATCAATAAAAGTTCAGTCTGCTCTGGCACATGGGGGCTTCTCTACTCCAACCCCCAAAGGTGGGCACCTGTTGTCCCAACTGTTGTCTTTAGGACCAAATGGCTTGATAAGAGAAGATGAATCCAGGTGTGGTAGCACACGCCTTTATTCCCAGCACTTGGGCGGCAGAGGCAGGCAGGTATCTGAGTTCGTGGCCAGTCTTGTCTCCAGAGTTCTAGGACAGCCAGGGCTATACAGAGAAGCTCTGTCTCAAAACTTCAGAGTGAGAGAGACAAAAGCAGGGAATTCCAGTTTTTAATTTTATTTGTCAACAAATTTTTCCAGAATGTTCAGGATTCAAAAAGCACCACTGTACAATATAAGGTTTGTCTCTTGCCCTAACACTCCTCAGTTCCAGCTGTTTTGAATGGCAGATTCCTTCCTTGGTATGGTAAGTGGCCTTAGCCTCACAACACAGCACACACAGCACACCAGTGTAGGCTGGCCCTGAGACCTCCAGATATTAGCAGTGTGTTCTGGTTTTGTTTTTCTTCTCGTATCATAAGTATCAAGTATCATAAGCAAGTGGGGCAGAAACCTTATGCCATCAAACTCACCGATTTCTGCACGCAATTAGTTCACTTTAAGCTTTTGGACACTGCTCCCGTTAGCTTGAACGTTGATCTTGACAACTGCTTCAATCAAACTGGCCTGTGGAAGCCTCTTTATTACTCACTGATGTGGGAGGCTAAGCCCACTGTGGGAGGTACCATCTCCTAGGCAGTGGATGGTGGACTGTACAAGAAAGTTAGCTGAGCACCAGCCTGCATGAGCTCGCTAGCAAGTGGCGTTCCACCACAATTTCTGCTGCATGTCCCTGCCTGTGAGTTCCCTGGTTAGAGACGAAGATAACAGAATACACAGCAGGCCTGCCTACAGCTTCCTCCCCTAATTTCTCTCACTGACAGGCAGTAACCAGAAAGTGTAAGCCGAGTAAACCTTTTCCTCATCGAAATTGCTTTTGTTGCAGCAACAGAAAAGAAAATTAGAACAGACACCAAAGCCATTATTTCTTACAATCACCTAGGAGGCGCTGAACTACGCAGAAACATGCCTGCTTGTTGTTTGTCAGGAGATTTTTATTCTCTATCATAGATTTTAAAAAATCACACAGGTATTTTAGTAGATAGGTCAAATTCCTTGCAGTTATATCTTACATAAGGCAGTGTACATTTGTACCAAATGAATAAAGAAAACTAATCCTCCGGTGATGATGTTTATGTCATTTTTTTCATGCTTTCACTATTGCCTTCCCCAAATTTTCTCCTTTCAACATTCCCATGAACGTTGCTGGCATCTTCTCAAATCCTTCGTGGATGTATTCATGATACTGGATTTTACCCTGCATCAAAACAACAATTACGGGTTGATTTCATTTTCCAAATGATGTTCTCTTCTCATCCTAGCAACAGTTTTATCAGGTATACAAGAAGAATCTTGAAATTCTGAGATGTCGGCCCTCTTGTCTATGGCTAACAAGATCTATGGGCAGAGTCCACACAACACAATCACAGTGCGCACTCACAGGTAACAAACAGGCAACAGTTAAGCGATTCCCACGTACCTTGCACAGAAATGTTTAACAATGTGATGATCTCAGAAGAGAGGGAAAAAGAAAGGTACACCCTCAACAGATGCTGTTTTTCTCATATCTAGTAGCCCAATGACAGGAAACACCACACCTCAAGTGAGACTGGAAGAGCTGGGGCTTGTTCAGGAAACGTAAATACCATGGAACTTACACTTTGTTCTCCCTTCTAACCAAGGTTCACCCTGCGTGTTACCAGTTACTTAGAAGAGAGGGAGGGAAGGGTTCATATCAGAGAAGATTTTTTATGTACTTTACAGATTCAAGGATTGTTTGGTTCTCTCAAGACAGAGTTTGGCTATTGTAGTCCAGGTTGGCCTCGAACCCGTGGTCCTCCTACCTCTTCTACTGCAGGCGCATAGCATACTGCTACACCCAGCTTCAGGGTTTTTGTTTTTAAAGGGGTTTTATGTAGAAACCCAAGTTACCTGATAATGTTTGCACATCATACATTCCAGGGATGGCTGAATACTTTTTATAGACTTATGGTCACGCCACCTGCTTGAGGTCACTCAAAAAGCACACCAAAAGTGGAATTTGAATCCCTGACTTGAAAGCCCTAGCCCATTCCTACTTTAAAAGGACAGAGACCCCGCCCCCCCATATAGGATAGAAAGCTAAAATCTGGTGTAATGATTAAAACTACAAAATGAATATTGCTGTGGATTGAACTATGTCCTACACACCACCCAAATTCCTCTGCGGAAGTCTTAACTTCCCCAGTAATCAGAATGCAAGCATCTTCTAAGACTGGATGTTTAAAGACATAATTAAAACATAATGAGGTCATATGAGCATGTCGTGAGCAAGCAGGACTGGTGTCCCTTTTGGAACTAAGGCAGACACAACCAGAGAAGGCCACCTCGGGAAGAAAAACCTCTGGAGAAGCAAGAACCCGCGGGTGCTCTGATCTCGGGTGAGCAGCCTCTAGAATAAATTCCTGTGGCTTAAGTCACCCATCCTGTGGTACTTTGTGATGGCAGCCCTAGAAAACGAATGTAAATACGAGCGAAATTTTTATTTTATTTTATGATTTCTTTAACTTTATGTACATTGGTGTGAAGGTCTCAGATCCCCTGGAACTGGAGTTATAGACAGTTGTGAGCTGCCATGTGGGTGCTGGGAATTGAACTCGGGTCCTCTGGAAGAGTAGTCAGTGCTCTTAACCACCAAGCCATCTCTCCAGCCCCGAAAATTTTAATAATAGGGGAAATTAAGGTATAACAGGAGGGTATGTAGGTATTCCTATACTGTCTTCCCAAGTTTTTCTTATCAATTTGTAATTGTGTTAAAATAAAAAGTGTATTTTTTTAAGTTGGGGGTCTCAGTGAGGGAAAATGTTTGCTTAGCGTTTGTGAAGCCTTTGAGTTGAATCCCAGCATTGGGCTGGGGAGTAGGGGGTTGGGGCAGGAAACAATGAGGTGAATTAGAAAGAAATCAAGGCAATTCAGCTTCGCTGCTTCTTGTTTGAAGCAGTTCTCCACTCCAACCCCCAAACGGTGGGCACCTGTTGTCCCAACTGTTGTCTTTAGGACCAAATGGCTTGATAAGAGGAGATGCAGAGAGAGAAGCAGCCAGGTAGTAGGGCACACATCTTTGATATCCCAGCACTCAGGAGGCAGAGACAGGCAGATTTCTGTGAGTTTAAGCCAGCCTGGTCTACCAAGGGAGCTCCAGGACAGTCAGGACTATCACACAAAGAAACCCTGAATCAAGAAAAAAACAAAAGCAAGGAGGAAAAAAAGAATGGAAAGAAAGAAACTAAAGAAACTGTATGTGTAAACATAGACAATACCACCTGTAGGTATTCTGTTATAAAACGGATGGGTCTGAATAGCAATGAAACTCAGAGAGGCTATGGGCTCAAGTGGTGCATGCCTGTAACTTCAGGGTTTAGGATGCTGAGAAAAGAATATCATGAACTCGAGATTAGCATGGGATACACCATGACATACTGGTTCCGTTACGGCCTTCACCCTCAACCCCCAAACAAAAATTTAAAGAAATTTATTTCCCTTTTTAAGATGAGGAAAGAATATTTATAACTGAAAACACTGATCCAACACACAAGGAGAAACAGAAAAGGGAAGAACTGGAGGCTGGAGAGACGCAGTTAAGAGCACTTGACTGCTCTTCCAGAGGTCTTGAGTTTGATTCCCAGCCACCACATGGTGGCTGCCAAACATCTGTAGTGGGATCAGATTCCTTCTTCTGACGTACATGAAGACAGAGCACTCAGATACATAAAACACATGATTAATAAATCTTTTTAAAAAGGGGGGATTGAAGGACTGAGGGTTGTGAGTTGCAAAAGTCTGTGGGAGCAGGTGGGCCGTGGGAGTGGCTGGGTCCCCTTACCTCTGAGACCCAATTCATCAGGTCTATCAGAGCCTTCTGGCGGACGTCTCCCTGCCAGCGGGTAACGAGGAACCCCTCCATGTGGAGTTGCTGATAAATCACAGCCTCTGGGGGTGGGCCTGGAAAAGGAGGATTCACTCATTGTGACAGGGTCCTGGGACGTGTCCACAGTGAGACACACTGTCACGGCTCTCCAAGTACCCCCTCCCCATTCTGTTTCCTCCACTCCTTTCTGATCCACAGGACCAGCACTAACCAAGCAGTGGGGAAAAGAATGGTCCAGGGACATCCGTACCCCAAGCCCCAGAGCCCGTGAGTATCTACGCTCCATAGTGAACCAGAAAGCAGGAAGGGAGAAGCCGCACTGGCTGCCTGGGAGCCAGCAGCTGAGGCATGGTGCAGGGTTGGAGTTACACACTCTCCAAGAGTCAGTGGAAGTGGGCTTATGGAATGGCAAGGTCGGGGGGGCAGAAGCAAGGCATCTTCGGTCTCTTGGACAACTGGTGTCACTCAAGGCTGAAGTCTCCACTCACTACTTGGAAGAAAGAACCATTGGTAGTCAGGGAAATGGAGCCTTGTCTTGAACCAATAGAAATTGGCACATGAGGCGGGACAAATATAAATGCTGGGATGTGCCTCGGAATAAGTGCATTAAGTCATAACAAAGCCCATGCTCAGACCGTCCCTACAGCATGGCACTTCTTCAACAGGCCCACAGCAACCATATTTCCTTTTGAGTTAAAGGTCCAACCTGGGCTAGGGAGATTGGGCTCAGCCAGTAAAATGATTGCCATTCGACATGAGACCAAGAGTTCAGCTCCCTGGCACCCATGTAAAAGCTAGGCACAGCAATGCGAATTTGTAACACCAGGTAGAAAGATCCTTTGAACTCATTGGCCAGCCATCTAGATGAATGAATGGGCTCCAGCTTCAGTGAGAGGCAATAGTCTCAAAAAGTCAAAATGGAGAGCAATTGGGAAGATCCCTAAGGTTGACCTCTGACCTCCATACATACCCACACGTTATGTGCACACACCATCCACATAGGTGGGAACCTTCATTTCCTCATCTTGGAAAAGACTGAAAAAGTGTTGCTGAGCTAAGTACCCCAACAGGAACACTGGTTTCTTTTTTGAGTGCAACAAAGCAAATATGGTTGTACGCTGATAGAAATACTGACTTGTCTCTGAGCTATACTGATACTGAAATGTGCTAGAATTCCTGGGCCTCAGAAGCAAGACAGAATCCCATCTGATTAAAATAGACAACTCTACTGCCATCTCTAAGAACTATTTGAGTAGCAGAAATTCAAAAGACTAATTGCTAAGAAAAAAACCTAGGTCAGAAATATTTGATTGTACCTATTTAGACTATGATTAAGAAAATATATCCTGGAACTGTCTTTGGTTGGCAGACAGATGGTTTTCCAAGATTCCACCTTAGCATCATTTGCAAAAGAAGATGGGGGGGTGACCCTATCAATGAGATTGCCAAGTGAATATAGAGTTTCCTGGCTGGAGAAGGCAGTGTTTTGATTTTCCATAACTCATGAGGGAATCTGCAATCAGTCCGTCTTCAGCCCCACCTGCTCTAAGCTCCCCCATCTCTAGGCAGTTCTGCTGCTAATCAGTGCTACGGAATATTATTCACACATCAAGCCCAGGATTGAAGAAGTATGCAATTGTTCTGTGGTCACCCATATCCTGATTAGAGACCCAACGATTCCTTTTTCTTCTCCTTCTTCTTCCTCAGGGGTCTCAAATAAACCTATCATCCTGATAATAGAGAGAAGACCCGATGTGAGGAGTTGAAGCACTGGGCTCTGTTTTGTGTCAGCCATTCATCTTGTAACAGAGGCTCACACAGGATCCCTCACAACACAGAAGCAGAGAGCATAGGGCTTTCAGCTCATACTGCGTTTGGACCCCTGGGAGTATAAAGGAGAGGGAGGGAGGGATTTCAGTATAGAAAAGTGAGTAAGAGAAAGATAGAGCACACAGAGAAATGAAAGAAGCCAATCAAAGAGCATGTGTGGCCGGAAGGCGGGAGCAGCCAGGCCTCTTTCTCTTTTTGGGGAAATTGCCAGACCCCACCAAGCACATGAAGACATGATAACCACCCCCGTCCCATCCACAAGTCTGTGAATCTGTCCAGTCCTCCTACATGCAGGTGCACAATACCTTGGGAACGTGGACCAGTGAGGTTATACTGAGAGATGGCCCCACAGATGGCAATTCTCCCAAACGTCTTCATCTGGGATATGACAGTGTTCGAAAACTCTCCACCTACCTAAATAGACAGCCAGAAAACAAAACATGTTAAATAATGTTAACAATCCATTAAGGAGAATCAACAAAATTGATTAAATCAATACAGCAGTTGTAAAGATTGTGGCTAAAATACATATCAGAAAAAGACATTTCCAAGAGGTAGAGGCAAGAGGATCAGAAAATTGAGGTTATTCCCAGCTACCTAATGAGGCTGAGGCCAGCCTGGGTTATACAAGATGGTTTGCAAAAAAGAAACATTTTCATCTGACCTTTGAAACATCCTTTATATAGTATAAAGCTAGTATGCTAAATATTAGAATCTTCTGCATAGCCCAATAGTCTCATTGTCTTATAATCTAAAGGCATATAAAAATATTCAAAGGGTATTTAAGGAACAAAGCTACCAGATTCATACTTTCAAATTTCAAAATATACTGCAAAGCTCAATTAAAGCAACAGGAAACTAGAAATACAGGTCAGTGGAGCCAAACTGAATCCAAAGGGAACCTTACAATTTGCTGTCGATTGGTTTTCCACATGAATGAAGGCCAAGACGGTTGATAAGGGAGGAAAGCCTTAACTGCTGGTTCAGAACTGCATATCCACATGGAAAATATCAGAAGAGACTCTCCTAACTATGCACACTGATGGCTGAATATGTAATACAGAAAGGAGATTCAGAACCAACATCTAAACTCTCGGCAGAAGCAAAGGAGCGAGTACCAGTGACCCCGAGAAGGCAACATTCCTAGACAGCACAGCAAATGCCCAACCAACCAAGGAAGTAATTGAAATGTCTGTGGTTCTAAGGATACCATTTGGAGAATGAAGACAACTCACAGAGCCAGAGAAAAATTCTGAAAACCATATATAGTCAATCTGCATACTCATAAGATCCCATAAATGTGAACCATGTTACTCGCTAAGATTCATCTGTGCCTTCCAAAGGGGTCCCAGGTCATTTGCAGACACAGATAGTCCCAGCAAAGACTGAATGAGCAAGGTGATGCTGTGCCTTCCTGTTATACAGAGATGACCAAAGGATGGGGACAGTGGAGCTCTGGCCCTTCGCAGAATGGAGTGAAGAGTGGTTATCCACTTTGTGGGTTTAAGGGCAAGTTACTTAAGACTTCAGTTTAGTGTAACACGTCCAAACCTCATTTCTCTTTTGTAAAATTAAATAAACTACAAAGAAGGGAGGGTAAGGATTAAAGATTATAATTCACACAACAAATATTCTTGTGTAGTCATTTTGCCTAGGAGCCATAGTTTAGTGTTCCTGGTGACTTTACAGAACACAGCTACTGCAATAATGAAAATTAACTGCAATGAAGAGACATGTACTCATATATAAAGAACTGATAATCCAGCTGAGAGTAGGCCAAAGTTGTGTACACATGTCCCCAAACATGATACACCTATGTCCATGAGCAATCTTTAGTGTCATTTGTCTCGGAAATGTAAATCAAAACCATACTGAAATCACTTCAGCCAGATTAAGATGGGTATAAGAAAACCAGTCATGCCAGGCAGTGGTGGCGCACACCTTTATCCCAGCACTTGGGAGGCAGAGGTAGGCAGATCTCTGTGAGTTCGAGGTCAGCCTGGTCTACAGGTTGAGTTCCAGGATAGGCTCCAGAGCTACAAGGAGAAACCATATTATGGCAGAAAAAGAAGAAGGAGAAGGAGGAGGAGGAGGAGGGGAGGGGGACGAGGAGAAGCAGGAGAAGGAGGAGAAGGAGAAGAAGAAGAAGAAGAGGAAGAGGAAGAGGAAGAGGAAGATGATGGAGAAGGGTTATCTGTCTATTGTGTTATTTTCATTGGTCAATAAAGAGACTGCCTTGGCCCCTTGATAGGACAGAAAATTAGGTAGGCGGAGAAAACAGAACAGAATGCTGGGAAGAGGGCTATGAGGCAGACGCCATGGAGTCAGCCACCAGGTCAGACATGCTGAATCTTTCCCGGTAAGCCACCACCTCGTGGTGCTACACAAATTATTAGAAATGGGTTAATATCAAGATATGAGAGTTAGTCAGTAACTAACTCTCTAGAGATAATGGGCCAGGCAGTGTTTAAATGAATACAATTTGTGTGTTATTATTTCCGGGGCTAAGATAGCCATGCGGGAGCCAGGTGGGATGAAAAGCAGGCCTGCCCGCAGCTCCTCACTACATATGGCACCCAGACGTGGATAACTGAATCCACAGAAAGCCTGAGAAAGCTTGAAAAAGAATAGAGTAAAGCTTGTTTTCTTGGTATGATAGCAGCAATTTCTCAGGTCTGCTCTGCTTGCTAGAGGCAAGCAAGGCTCTCATCTAAGAGAGGCTTCCTGACTCAGCGTTAGCTGCAAAACTTTGCAGCTCCTTTAAGAGGTCCCGCCCCGAAACACTTAAACGGCATTGATGAAAAGCTGAACACATGCTTTTCGGTTTTCAGCCATAGCAGGAAAAAAGCTGTGCTGTTTTAAAATGCCGGCTTTCTGGGCCGTCCTGCCAGGGCAAACTCTGACTCTTTCAGGCTGGCAGTCTGACTGAGAGTGGTCTGTGAGCAGAATGCTGCAGCTTGCTTGCTGACAAGGACCTTGAAACGCCATAGAGTTGTGGCAGTGAATACAGCTCTGGCTGGTACCTCTACCATGAGTCTGGAAAGCTAAGGAATGGACTGGATCTAGCCGTCAAAGCCATGGTTTTAGACTCATGTGGTCAGAAAAAGAGAGATATACAGTAAAAAGAGAGTCAAAGAGGAAGAAAACCTCTAAATGGTTTACTATGAGTTAAAAATATATGTAGGCTAAAGGTTAAAGTTCTTAGGGTAAAAAAGGAAGAAAGAGAGTAGTTGGGTGTGGTGGTATACACCTTTAATCCCAACACAAGGGAGGCAGAGGTAGATTGACCTCTGTGACCTCAAGGTGTGGTAGTACACACTTTTAATCCCAATGCCTGGGAGGCAGAGACAGAAGGATCTCTGAGTTCAAGGTGTGGTAGCACACGCCTTTAATCCCAGCACTGGAGAGGCAGAGACAGACAGATCTCTGAGTTCAAGGACAGCCTGGTCTACAGAGTTATTCCAGGACAAAGATATACAGAGAACCTGTGTCAAAAAGTAAAAGTAAAAATAAAAGAAATAGAGGTTAAAAATAAAGCTGCAAAAAGATGGAAAATACACAGAGAATCTTGATACTGTATGCTATTATGCTCTCTTTGAGTTATTTAAATGCTGAGGAAGGAGCAACAGCTGCAAAAAGATATTTGTTTATAAATGCTGCTGAACTAATCCAAGATAGATATGTTGAAAATACCTTGACTTCTGAATTTGGATCTAAGGATATGATACTTTGGAAAGGAGGTTTTTCTTTTGTTTTCACAGAGGATGAGACCCTGTGGATTGCTTCTATCCCAATATGGTATGATAGACCACGCCCTCCTGAAAGGTTTCTGTGAATACCCTCAAAAAATTACTTCACTCAACTGCCGACTGAGATGAACCTGGCAGACAGGTTATACCATGAAAGACCTGATTAACTGTGCCCCTATACAGCAGGAAGAAGTTTGGAGAGAGATAACTACGTCCATATTCCCAAATATTGCTTATAAATGTTCTTTTACATTTAAAGGGGGATATGATATAGATATGAATAATTTGCATTGGTATGGATTTTAAGGTCAATTTTGTTTTATGTGTATATATTTCTGATTTTGATTGTGTAGTTCATTTAAAAATGCAATGTATAATTAAAAATATAGGTTGTTAATGGATAATCATCGATAATAGTCAAGCTTGTAGTAATGTTAGTCTGAATTTTTAGAAGTGCATAGATATATTTCAGATATTTGAAAGATTCATATCTTTCAAAGACTACAGAACATGGCATTTAATGTTTTAATAACTTAGGACTTTTCATGACAATGAGACATGTCTGCTCCTGGCAGCACCAATCCACTTCAAGAGAAAGATGGGCATCAAAGAGGCTCCTTATGGAGTTGGTTAGCCATTTGGGCAAGAAACAGCTCTTGCCTGGACTGTTATATAAACTGGACACAGAGAACCCGCAGAGAGAGGACTGCTGAACTTGCCTAAAGGTGAGATGATCTTTCAGGGTTCCTGATTTATGAAAGAGTCTGTGAGACATTCTGCAGGACACAGCAGTTAGTGACTGAACTGCCTTTGAAATTTCCTGCTTCATGGAAATGTCTCTGGATATTATGGGCCTGAAGGCCGAAGATGGGTGCCCCAACGATACAGAGGAACTTTGGGTGACTGTCCAGGCAGCGAGATGTCTCTGTCATTTCTAGAGTTTTGGAAGTTGCTTACTTCTTGTTTACTTAGGTAATATTATATCCTTCTGGAGTCTTTGATGGAGTTGAAGAATGGCTAGTCATAGTTATAGTTTTCCATTATTATGATAAAGATATAGTTATAAATATTGTGACTGTAATTCTTGCTTGATAACTGTTTTGTTATATATAATTTTACTATGTTAAAATGAAAGCCTTTCTTTTTTGTTTAAACAGAAAAAGGGGAAATGTAGGAGGAGGGTTATCTGTCTATTGTGTTATTTTCATTGGTCAATAAAGAGACTGCCTTGGCCCCTTGATAGGACAGAAAATTAGGTAGGCGGAGAAAACAGAACAGAATGCTGGGAAGAGGGCTATGAGGCAGACGCCATGGAGTCAGCCACCAGGTCAGACATGCTGAATCTTTCCCGGTAAGCCACCACCTCGTGGTGCTACACAAATTATTAGAAATGGGTTAATATCAAGATATGAGAGTTAGTCAGTAACTAACTCTCTAGAGATAATGGGCCAGGCAGTGTTTAAATGAATACAATTTGTGTGTTATTATTTCCGGGGCTAAGATAGCTGTGCGGGAGCCAGGTGGGATGAAAAGCAGGCCTGTTCGCAGCTCCTCACTATAGGAAGAGAAGGAGGAGGAGGAAGAAGAGAAGGAAGAGGAGGAGGGGGAGAAGGAGGAGAAGAAGAAGAGGAAGAGGAATAGGAAATCCAGTCATTACAGATGGCATTAAGGCTATGGAAAAATTCTAGCCCTTTGAGACTACTGGTAGGAATGTATGTCAGTGTAGTCATTTTGCAAAAATACATTAGCAATTCCTCAAAATGTAAACATGAAGTTTCCATATGACCTAGCAATTCTACTCATAGATAAATATCCAAGAGAAAAGAAAATGAATTCAAACAAAAATTTGTGCATGAATGTTCACGGTAGCATTACACAATGATCAAAAGGTGTAAAGAAATCAGACACCTATCAACTGATGAATAAATACAAAATGTAGTATATCCATACAATGATAGTTCACTCATTAAAAAAAAAAAACAAACAAGTACGAATGCCTACTACAACACAGATGATCTGGAATCATTTAGCTAAGTGAAAGCAGCCAGTCACAAAAGAACACATTTTTGAGGAAAGAAGGAGGAGGTAACTGAGGATTAATGTTTCTTTGGGGAGTGATAAATATTCAACAACTGTGGTCACAAAGATAGTTTGATACTAAAAATGGTTAAGATCTGAACTTTCTTTCATTTGCAGTGCAGGGACTGGATGCAGGGCTGTGGACATGGCAGGCAACAAGCCCTATTGCTGAGTTACATCCCTAGGCTAAAATTTTACAGTGGGTTTATTTGTTTATATATTTATTCAGTGCTCGATATGGGTACATGGTAACATTAGGAAGCCCAGGCTTGCCTTGAGCCTGCTATCCTCCTGTCTCAGCCTCATGAGTGTTTGCATTATAGGTATAGCTACTATGAATGGCTATGCAGTTTAAATGAGTGAATTCCATGGTCTGTATATCTTAACAAATCTCCCCTCCCCCATAAAGAGTGTACTTGATTTGTATATTCTAGATGGAAACTTTAGAAACATGCTCCTTTATGTAATACATTATTGGTGAATCAGGTAAGCTCAGATTGTACTTACATTGTCAAAATAGCAATCATAACCATCAGGAGAGGCTGTTCTCAATGCTTCTTCCAAAGATTTTACTGTCTTGTAGTTAAAGGCAACATCGAATCCGAGCTTCTTAAGATAGTTAACCTTTTCATCAGACCCTGCGGCACCAACGACTTTGCAGCCCTAAATTGGGGGGGAAATGCAGACTATTAATGAAGCAGGGCCCAATTCCACGTTCCTAGTCTTACACAATCTTGTTACTCAAGAGTACACCTTGTGCAGGTCAACTTTTCCACACTGTGACAAAAACACCTGAGAAAACAATGTTAAGGAGGAAAGAGACAACTGGCTCACAGTTTAACTCCATGTTTCTGGGATGTATGTTATGTTTATCACAACAGAAGGGCATGACATTAGGAAAGCCACGCAACTATGGCAGCCAGCAGAAAGAGACAGAGACAGAGAAGAAGAATCTAAAACAACCTTCAAAGACAATTCCAGTGACCTACTTCTCCCAGCTAAGCTCTTTTAGTTTGTCCCATCTACCAACAATGCCATCAAACCATCCGATGAGCCTGTCCATAGGCTGCTCCACTGATGAGGTCAGAGCTCCCACAATCCAATCACTTCACAAAAGTCCCAGTTCTGAAGTAGGAACCAGCCTTCAACCTATGAGAACACAATTCCTATCCAAACCACAGCACACCCCAGGTGCAAGGAATTCCACAGGAAGTCAACAGACCCTGATGGTGAAACTGGTCCCCAGCCTAGACCTCACCTACAGCTAGCCTGACCACTCAGTAGATCTGCCTGGTTTGCAGTTCATTTCAACCTGCCGCTTTAACAACCTGGTCACTTGGCCTCCCGGTCTCTTCACTCTGGGGCATCTCTTTTCCTCCAGTGACATAAATCTATCTTGGTGTGGTATTTCATCTTTGTTGTCGCTGTGTTAATTGTGTGTGTGTGTGTGTGTGTCTGTGTATGCACACATGTGCAGGTGCATAGAAAGGCCAGAAGACAGCATCAGATCCTCTACATCTAGATAAACAGGTGATTGGGAGCCACTATGCGGGTGCTGAGAACTGAACTTGGACCCTCTGGAAGAGTAGCAGTGTTCAGAACTGCTGAGCCATCTCTCCAGTACAGTGCAAGGCTTCTTTGGAACATCATTTCCCCTTTTTCTCAGGTAGTTTTAAACTTTTATATTTATTACTAACCATGTGTATGCACGTACGATATGTAGGTATGGGTGGGTACATGCATGTAACAGCACATATGTGGAGGTCGGAAGAGAACTTTGAAGACCTGGTTCTCCCCTTTTCCTTGCACCTTTATATCAGAGGCTGAACTCACGTCGTCAGGTAGGTACAGCAAACCCCTTTACCCATGGAGTCATGTCTATAGTCGTCTATCTTTTTAATAAAACATTTCCAATTTAAATATTGGAAATACTTCTCATTTAATTTTGTAAATCTAGCCTATGCTAAATATAGCGAGACCTTCTGAGTTCAGAAAAAGAGAAAAACAAAGCCTACAAATCAAACTCATGTGGAACGACACAGGCAAAATTCTCCTTAAATGCTATCAGCTCCGGGGTAGAGTCTGTGCTTAGCATGTCCTAGACCCTGGTTCAGTTACCAGCCTGCCCCCAAAGCCATCAGTTCCAAAGGTTTCAATCTATAGTGTGCCACTATTTCTTGAATTTTTGGAATGCTAGAACAACAAATGTAACTCGTTGGTTCTAAGGATAACATAACAAAAGCTGAGATAGTGTTTATGAGATTCCGCTTCTTTCCCCATGCATGGACTTACTCACCTAAGTGTTTCCTGCAACCTCAGTTGTGTCCAAGCACCTGTTAGTAACAGAGGCCAGCCCTTGGCTACCGGGTATAGCCCACATTCAACTCTATTCCACTGACCTTGCCCTATAAGAACACGTCCTAAGTCCTGTACAGAAGCCTTTGACAAAGCTACATCACCCAGCCAGGTCACCTGAGAACATCCCCAATATGAGAAAACAAATCCTAACCAGGTCTGAGCTGCCTGTTATCCCGTACACTGGCCATCAGACTGGATCCCTTGAGCAGAGAGCTGCCCAGATCAGAGTCTACACTCTGTTTACATTTCTGTTCCAGGAGCTCGATCCCAAACAATGGCCCCACCACCTATACTGATTGCTCATTTCTTTCTGATGTAACAGCCTTTGCCATAGAGCCATGTGCATGATGACTCCTGGTTCGGCTGACCTCAAGTCCCTCTTTGTATTTCTGGAATCGTGAAGGAAGGCAATTAAACTGAGCAAGAGAATGCACAGTAAAAACAAAACATATGTGTGTGTAATAAGACATATTATATATGTGTGTGTATGTATATGCATTTATACATACATATATATTTTATGTGTGTATGTGTGTGTATCTCTGTGTGTCTCTCTCTCTCTGTGTATGTGTGTGTGTGTGTGTGTGTGTGTGTGTGTGTGTACTCAGTAAGCCAGTTGGGTTCATGCCTGACTTGCTATCTGCTGTGTTATCAGTTAACACTGGTCAGCTCACCTTTATTGTTCTCATTTCCTCATTTTCCCCTTTCTCAGCCTCTGTCTTCTAAACAAGTCCCAGCGAGTTGATCGTACACCCCCCTGCTGCATTCCCAGCATGCGCCGTGGGTCCTGTAGAGGCGTGGCTGGGGGAAGACACTTACCTTGAGCTTGGCTATCTGCCCCACTACTGAGCCCACTGCTCCTGCTGCTGCGTTGACCATCACTGTCTCTCCACCCTTCACGCCACAGATGTCAAGCAGGCCAAAGTAGGCAGTGAGGCTACGGGAAACACATAAGGATGCAGGAATAGATTCAGACTCTCTCTCTCTCTCTCTCTCTTTCTCTCTCATCTCTTTCCCCTCCACACTTTCCCGCTCAGACAGTGGTGGTGCATGCCACTTAGCACTTGGAAGACTCCCAAAACAAAAATGAAAAATGTTTGTATCTTTAAACCATATGAATCTCAGACCCCATCATTATGCTCTCAACATCTACTGGTTCAACTTTCTAAATCCCACTTACGCTACGGTTTGGAGATGAGCTGTGTCTTCCCCAAGCCTCTTGTGATAAAGGTTTGGTTTCCAGTGCAGCAGTGTTCAGAGACAGAGATTTGACAAAGTGATTAAATCATGAGAGCTCTGATGTAAGCAATGCATTAATTCCATGATGGATTCATAATATGATAGCATTGTTAGGAGCTGGGACCTAGTCAGAGGAAGCAGCTCACTGAGGACAATGCCCTAGAAAGATACATCTCATTTCTGGCTCCTTGTTTTTCTTCTCTTCCTGGGTGCCATCAGATAGACAGTTCTGCCCCATCATTCCCCTTATACCATGATCATCAACCTTGTCCCAGGCTTAAAACAAATGTGCTAATGTACTGAAATCATGATTTGAAAGAAAACTTTCCTCCACTTAAATTGTTGCTCTCGGGCATTCTCACATAAATAGAAGCTGACTCCGGATGAAGATGAGAACATGTGGAATTTGTCATTCTGTGCCTGACTTACTTCACTTAATGTCCTCTGGGTCTGTCTATGTTATCATAAAAGAGCCTTCTTTCTAAAGATATATTGCATTCTTTTATGTACAGCATTCTCTGCATTCATTCACTTAACAGATTCTTCTCCGTTTGAGCTCCTTCCTTTTTCATTCCTAACAGTTTTTCTCCAATCAGCCCTTGCATCTTAAGTCTCTCCTTGCTGGTTAAGCTATAACGTTAGACGTTCTGACAAACAGAACATGCCATGAGAACACTTACCCTGGCATGCCAACGGCCCCCAAAGCCAAAGACAGCGGTAACTTCTCCGGCCACTCTGCAGGCAGTTTTCTCAACCCGTTCCCATCAGAGATGGAATGTGATGTCCAGCCTAATAAAGCCACCACCACGGTTCCTGTGGGAAAGGCTGGGTTTTTGCTTTCCACAACTCTGAAAGATGAAAGGACAGTAAGACTGGTGATGTCTTTTCCCATTCATGGGGGTCAGGATGCTTTGTAGGGAACGTTCAGCAGAGGGCATTGAGCTAAGTTGTCCATGACTGACTCTGAGGAATCTCTCCTTAGTTCTTAGTCATGTGGGAGCCATCAAAGAACATTCTCAACTGGTCCCACACCATTCCCTTTCTCTGCCCATTTCTCTCCTTATTTAGCAAGGGTCCTCTGTCCTCTGGATCCAGGGGCCTCTCTCCTCCATCCTCTACACATCAGCCTTTCCCCTCCCTTGGGGACCCTCTCTGTCCCCCAAGTCCTCCTTTCTCTTGCATTGTTAACATTTCCTTCTCTGTTGTCCTTTCTCTCAGCAGTAAGGAAGCACAACTTGGCCATTTTCTTTTTTTTTAATTGATTTTTATTGAACTCTACATTTTCCTCAGCTCCCCTCCCTGTCTCTTCCCTCCCCTTCAGCCCTCTCCCAAGGTCCCCATGTTCCCAATTTACTCAGGAGATCTTGTCTTCTTCTACTTCCTACTTCCCATGTAGATTAGATCTATGTAAGTCTCAGGGTCCTCATTGTTCTCTAAGTTCTCTGGGATTGTGGTTTGTAGGCTGATTTTCTTTGTTTTATGACTAAAAACCACTTATGAGTGTGTACATGTGATAATTGTCTTTCTGGGTCTGGATTACCTCACTCAAAATGATGTTTTCTAGCTCCATCCATTTGAACATGGCCATTTTATAATCTCATCTTTTCCCTCCATTTTCTCCATTTTATAGCCAAATTTCCTCATTCTCCATCCACATGATACACGGGAACAATGTGCCTTCCACCTTCACCAGCCCACTGACTTCACAACCTTCTGATTGTGAAACACAGTGGCTATTTTTTTTCAACATCTCTGAATTATTTATTTGTTATTCATGTGTATGGAGGAGGGGAAGACAGATACCATGGCATTTTGTGTATGGAGGTCAGAGGTCAACTGTGGAGTCCGGTCTCTTTCCGTCACGGGTTCTAGGCATGGAACTCAGGCCAGCAGGCTTCTCTTATTCAATGCCTGACTCCACCTCTCTACCCCGCCCTTGTAGTCCTAGGACACTGACCTCTGACCTCTGGCCTCTGGCCTTTCCTTCCTAAGCTGCCTCATCTACTGATTTCCTGCAGCTCCTCTCACCCAAACCTTACTTCTTGAATGCGCTCCCCAAGTTAAAGCTAAATATCACATTTATTTTAGAAAGTTTAAATAAAATGAAAATATCAGACTGAAATCCTAGCTCAGTCGTATAGTACTTGCCTGGTACATGCAGGCCTGGGCTGAATCATAAGCACCACAATTTTTTAAAGCAAAATTTTAAAAAAATGCTTAAAAAAACAAACAAAAATATCAGCTATAATCCTACAACATAAAGATAACAGCTAATATATTGGTATATTTCAAGGTAATCTTAATGATGATTTAAAAATATACAATGTATATTTACATAACTGAAGTAAAGTTTTGCAACCTAATTCTCTCTCAACTTTAGATTAGCTTTATATAATTTATATATTTTTTGTGTTATTAAGAATCCTTTAGAGCTGGGAAGTGGTGTCACACTCCTTTAATCCTAGCACTCAGAAGGCAGAGACAGGAAAATCTCTGTGAGTTCAAGGCCAGCTTGGTCTACAGAATGAGCTGCAGGACAGCCAGAACATTTACACAAAGAAACCCTGTCTTGAAAAAATTTTTTAAAAAATCCTTTAGATACTGTATAGTTTTTACTTCATCAGTAGGGTTGGGTTTTTTTTTTTTGCCAGTATCATTCCCAATATAAATTACATTTTAACTAATTATTGTTATTGTTTTTGAGATAGGGTTCTCTGTGTGGCCATGGCTATGCTGAAACTCACTATGTAGACCAAGCTAGCCTTGAACTCACAAAGATGTGTCTGCCTTTGCCTCCCATGTTCTGGGATTAAAGGTGTGTGCCACCACATCTGACTGCTAATCTCATAAATATGAATTTATTGTTTTCTTAAGCACCTTGCCAAGAACCCTGAAGGCAGCCCTCTCTCTTGCTACACAGTGCCAAGTTCTTTTCTAGAAGGTTCTGCTGTCTTCGAGTGTATCTTCCACCTGTGAGCATCACCTAATGAACCTAGGAGTCATGCTTTAACATCTTCTGATTTTCAGAAGATACATATGTTTATTTCTTTGATTAACAAAAAACTTATAAACGTTACAGAAACAAAGCCTGCTGACAGGTAAGAAAGACAGACTTGTGGGTGAGGAAGGATACTCTGCCCTGGAAGAAGTGCTTTTAAAGACATATCTCCTCTAAAGGATCCCAAACAAATCCTAAAACCCAAATAGGATTTCAGCAAACGGTATTATTGTCATACCTAGCTAGTCACTTGAACACTCTTCTTCTAACATAAAAATGGCTGGGAACTTTTAACTAAAAGTAAATATAAAAGAAAATGTCAATAGCTATTTTTCATCATTTTGGAAGAGTTCTTAAGCAAATGAGATGAAACCTGAAGGCCACAATTACAAATATGCATGGAGAGCTATGATTGGACACTAGAGAAAGGCATAGGCCTGAATCCCTGCTACAGAAGCAGTCCTTACAAACTGATAGAGCAGAGATGGGAAAGTCCTACATAAAAAGTGCAAAGACCACAAACATAGCTCATAAGAGAAAGCTGACCACTAGCTCACAAGATGACGGCTACCAATATAACAAAAGCGAGGCAAACTAAACAAGACCGAGGGCTGCACATTCATCTCAGGTCACCAAGACTGATGAGGGATGCGGGACCAGGCAAACAGGTTGCTTGATAGTGTTCAAAGGTGAAGACACCCATGCCATCTTTGTGAAGAATTTGTCAACATCTTTTCAAAATAAAAATACGTATCTAAGGCCAGAGAGACACGCCTGTGGGTAAAAGTGCGTGGACCCTGACTTGAAGCCCAGATCCTTCAGTGGAAGGAAAAGACTGATTCATGAAAGCTGCCCTCTGACCTCCACGTGTGTGCACCATGGTACTTGCACACCCGCTCTGACCTCCACGCTTGCACCATGGTACATGCACACCCACTGTTCTCTGACCCCCATGCATGCACCATGGTACATGCACGCCCGCTGTTCTCTGACCTCCATGCGTGCACCATGGTACATGCACGCCCGCTCTGACCTCCACGCGTGCACCATGGTACATGCACGCCCGCTGTTCTCTGACCTCACTCATGCACCATGGTACATGCACGCCCGCTGTCCTCTAACCTCACTCATGCACCATGGTACACGCATGCCCTCTGTCCTCTCTCCATGTGTGCACCATGGTACATGCACACCTGCTATCCTCTCTCCACTCATGTACCATGGTACGTGCACGCCTGTACTCCACACCACATGCTAATAGTAACAAATAAAATAGCCCAAAATGAAAGCACATGCACAACCTTGTGTAGAATTTACACTCTGGTGACTATAATGTATTTTTGTTTTGTTTTGTTTTGGTTGTTTTGTGTGTTTTTTGAGACAGGGTTTCTCCGTGTAATCCTGGTTGCCATGGAACTCACTCTGTAAACAAGACAACTTAGAACTCAGAGTCTCTGCTGCCTCTGCCTCCTGAGTGCTGGTATAAAAGGTGTGCATCACCACACCTAGAGGTGAATATAATGCAAAGCCTTCTTGTCTGAGCGGTCAGATACATGTGTGTGCTTATGTGCGCACACACACACACATGCAAACTTCATAAAGAATTACTGGTAGTAGAAAACTTTGAAAATAGCTTATCAGTAGTAGATTGAATTAAATGGAAGAATATAATGGAATAATCTATAACTTTAAATAAACATAGATGATATTTTTATGCACTGACAATAAACAGTGTATGACTTACTGAGAAAGCCTATTTGCTGGTAGGCATAGAATTTTATTCAAAGTAGAAGTCTGTACTTAGCAGCTTTTGAAATAATACAGTAACAACTGACTCAGAAGGGGGAACTTTCCAGTTCTAAATTTCAATTTATTTGAATTTTTACAATAATCATGGATTAGATATATAAAACTTTATTTACATCACTAAAAGTAAGGATGGCAGAGAGGCTAAGATGATAACCCTACATCCATAAGAGTTGGTGTTGCCAACTCGGCTGAGAACCACCCAGGAGATTAACCAGTGCATACCCCTGGCTGGTTATGTTCTTATGAAGGAAATAAAAGATCAAAGAAAGCTGGGCTGCGGTGGCTCATATCTTTAATCCCAGCACTCGGGAGGCAGAGGTGCGCAGATCTCTGAGAGTTCTGAGTTCCAGTCCAGCCTGGTCTACAGGGATACACGGAGAAACCCTGTCTTGAAGAACCAAAAAAAAAAGGAGCCAAGAGAACCAGTTATCAGCTAGTGCAGTGTTCTCTCTCTCTCTCTCTCTCTCTTTCTCTCTCTCTCTCTCCATCTCCTCTCTCTCCCTGTCTGCCAGGAGGTAGGAAGACGCTCTCCTACAGGATCATTTTTCCCACCTCAGGCCCAGGACCAAGAGAGGCAAGGGCTACATACTGCATCCTATGAAACGATGAACCAAAGCGAGCCATTCCTCCCTTTAAATCATTTCCCTAAGGTATTTGGTCACAGCTACAGCATCCTTCCGCCCCTCTCTGTCAAGAAGGAGGCAGCTCTTCCCAAACTGCTTCCTAGAGAACCACAGAGGCTGGAGAAGGAGCTGTAGGAGCAGAGAACAGACAGACCCGGCAGGAGCTGGAGGACATTTATCTGAATGCCAAGGCAGACGCAAATACTTACCTAGCCACTTGCTCACCCATCATCTTATCGCCTTCCTTCAGTCTTTTTGACGCAATTCTAAACAGAAAAAAAAGGAAAAAAGGAAAAAATATTCTTAGCATGCAAGACTATCTGGAGGGAAATATCTTCAGCATCAAGCCAAATGGCAAAACACTGGGTCAAAGCAGCATCCAATATACCAGGGCAGTAAACCAGGTGAGATGCAGCATGAGGTGGCTCTGCCTTGGACCCCAAAATATGCATTCTATGAATGAATGTGAGAGTCTTACCACTCTGCTCAGTTAGAGGTGAGTTTCAGTCAACCATACTCAAAATACTACACGGGCCCTGCTAGTATCTGCTACCCCAAAACTAAGCACCCCTGGAAGGATGCTAATTGCCATTTTGCTTTATTTACCAGGGTCTCCCTATGACTGGTTTTAAAGTTGCAGTCTTCCTGTATCAGCTTCTCAAGGTATGAGCCACCACACCCAGTTGCTAGTTAATATCTTTAGGTGGTATCTTTCCACAGAGAGTTGAATCTTTGCCAATCAGCTGTATTACTTATTTAGGTTAAAAGAAATTGCTGACGTGCCGTTGAAGGGCATTTGTTCCCTCTCTGCCCTCCAGTGCTTTTGAAGTTATAAGTCTGAGTCAACTATGAATCACAAAACACAAAACACTGGGGAAGAGAAGGCAGCAAGGCCTGGTTTTCGTCTTAGCAACTTCTGCTCCACTGTTGCCAGTAGGGAATGGGCAATGGAGGCCAGCTCCTGCCCCCTTTCCCCATCTCTCCTGGAAGCTGCTCTAAGGAGCAATGGAAGGGAACCCTGCGCAGAGCCGACCTTGGGCTACAGAAGATGAGACCCTGGAATCTCACCACTGTTACAACACAGGGAGAACAGGGAAGCCTGCTGTTTCCATCATGGGCTATCCTAAAAGATGAGCTGCAGTTCTTCAAACTAGGGGCCAACAAACATGAAAACCTGAGGAGGGAGACAGTACCTCATGTAAGGATCCACAGAGAGGAACAGGGCTTCCAGCAGGACCTCTACAAAAAAAAAAAAAAAAAAGGCATCGAGATGCAGCTAGCGACACAAGCCAGGAAGGCTGCAGTATCCTGGCATTCTGAATAAACAAGCCTAGTCTTTCTGCTTAGGGGCTCCTGTTCATCTGTGCTATTGATGATTAATTTTACCATGCTGGGGATTGATTCCAAAACCTTGTGCACATAAGGGAAACTCTCTTACCATGAGTTTCACACTTCCAGCTCCCCACCTGTGCTTCCCACTGAAGAGAAGAAAGGCTTTCACGTCTGACCCAGCCCAGCTGATGAAGATGATGACGATGATGATACTGCTACCTGTACTATTTTAGGGGAATCGATCCATTTGATATTTTCAACTATTGCCCCATCCTACTTAAGGTCAAGTTAAGTAACTTAACACGGTCACTTTTGCAGCCGCCATGGTACGGTGTTCAGGTAACACCTTAGCTTCCTACTGCTGTGATAAAGACCACAACCAAAACCAATGTGGGCAGAACAGGGTTTATTTCAGCTTATCCGCCCCAATCAAAGGCTAATACAAAGGGACAGAGGGGCAGGAGCTCCAGGAAGGCACCTGGAGGGAGGAATTGAAACAGAGGCCATGAAGGAACACCACTTCCTAGCTTAGTCTCATCTGCTTTCTAAATACAATCTAGGACCACCAAGGGTGGCAGAGCCCACAGTGGGCTGATCCCTCCTATGTGGATCATTGACCGGGAAAATGTCTATAGACTTGCCTACCCACAACTCGATAGAGACATTTCTCTCAGTTGAGGTTCTTCTCAGATAACTTTAGCTTGTGCCAATTTGACAAAACTAACCAGAATGCATAGCATTTTACTAACGTCTTCAGTCAATACAAAAGAAGACGTATTTTGCTATAGTGACCTCCTCTGTATATTTTCTGGAACTCTGAATCCAAGTTTTGGCCACTGCAACTTAATCTCAGTGAGTGATTCTGTCATGGCACGTGACAGTACCCTGTTCTCAAAAGCTAACTCACTGCAGCACCCTAGGGACACTGCTCACGGGCTGGACTCTGGGTAGAACTGCTGAGACATGCTCGCCTCTCTGTTCTCAGGCTCACCAGGACAAGGAGACAGCCTCCTCTGTCAAAGCATGAAGGATAAGGCTCCCAGGCATGAGCTCCATCAAAGATACTGGGGAGGGGGACCCATGATGACATTCAAGCTGCATAGAAAAGAAACCCTAAAAAGTTGTGGTAGATTGCAAAACGGACATAAACGGTTTTTTATGGCCTCCTGGCCACTCTTCCCATCAAGAAATTTGCTTCCGTGGGTTGAGGGTGAAACCCAGTGGTTACCTAAAATCACGAAGAGGAGGAGGAGAAGAGGTGGCAGAAAAAAAAAAAAAGAAATTTGCAGTCTTTGAATCTGGGCAGCTTGCTTTGATCCATGGGATTTTAAGAAAAGCAATGTAAGTAGAAACTTGAAAATTTCTTGAACACTGGAACTCGCCAACCCACAAGACCACTACAAGGAAAGAACCCAATCCAGCTGTCCAGAAAAGAGGGCCAGGAGCTGCAGGCTGACCCCAGTAGAAAGCCTTCTATTATTAGGCAGGTGAATGAGACTTATCCTAAAGTAACTAACCATTTAGCCCAGGTGAGAGACCTACAAAGAACCACCCAGCTTAAATTAGCCTAAGCTGTGAACACTCAGAACTTTTGTAAACTAACAAGAAAAACTGTCTGAAGTCAAACTTGGGGATGGATTCTCCGCTAGGCAGCAGGAGCTAACGGCTACAGCCTCTGCCAGCTCCGACTTACCTCCATTATTTAAGGGTGGGAGCTCAGTTGTCTTCAGCTCGAAGTTGCTGTCAGTAGGGAAGCCTTCAAAGTGCTTCTTCAGGGTCCAGCTCTTGGCCCGCACCATCGTGATGTACCTAGAACACGGTAAACACGTGGTCAATGATCATCTCATAGCCCCGAGGCCAGAAAGCACAACCCTATCACCATATAATCACATCCATTTAGATTACACTAAACATTTCATGTGTTTGATCTCATTTTATTCCCATGGCTTTTCTGAAAGAGTCATTGTTATCAATCACTTCAGGTGCGCAGATGCGGAAACAGGCTAAAACAAGCTCTCAAGGCAAAAAAAAAAATTATATTAAAAAAAATGTTCAGCAGTTTCTCGCCTCTCCTGGGGTGACTCTTCAGGAAAAACCTGAAATACAGGAACCAAAGTCACGTCTTTTTTTTTTTTTTTTTTTTTTCTACAGAAGCAAAGACCTCATAGCCACTTGGGGGCGCCGCTGCTCCATCTCATTGTCTCTGGTTTCGGCTCCAAAACGGAAACTGGCTTAAACTTGCTTCCAGGTAAAACCAACAGATAGATAATCTAAACTGCACTGTGCTTTAAAGGATTCGGGGCACAGAACTACACATCATCACGTGGGACCTCAGTAAATTCTCCAGCTCAGGACTGACCAGTTTGCTCCCTACACCCTACGAACAGCCTGACTGGAGGACGGTGAGCCGGGAAATCCAAAGCCCAGCTCTTCCCAACTACTTGTCTCTGAGTTTGAGAAATGATTCCCGTTGCCCAGGCTGGCCTGAGTGAGCTCGCGACCCAACCCTCCCGTGAACCATCATAAGGTGCTGATGATGACCTTTTGCGAAAACAAGTGCTCCTAAATCCTCTCTCCAACCACTCCACTCCCTTCCCCTCCCTCAACTGACAGAGCACAGCTTACATTGAGAGCTCACAGTGTAAGCGAAGGAGAGCGTTTAACAAGTCCGTCATCTTCTTTACCTACCATTTTATGATGAAACACTTGAAATCTGCTTGTTTTTGAACTAATCATTGTTGCCAAGACTCACACTATCTGACTCTGTGCCCTTTAACCAACAAACCCTTCAACCCTTCTCAGTCTCTGATAACTATCATTCTGCTCCACATTTCCGAGTTCAATGTGTTGTTTTTCTGAGACAGGGCGTGGCTGTGTAGCCCAGACTGGCCTTGCACTCCCTATGTAACAGAGGCTGTTTTGGAACCCTTCATCCCCTTGCTTCCGTGAGCGGGGACAGCAGGCACGCTCCACCACACTCAGCTTGAGTCTGGTTTATTGTTATTGTTACTTTGTGTGTGCGTGACCCAGGTCGGGGGGCGCATGCGTGTCACCGAGAGCTTGTAGAGGTCGGAAGACTGCCTTTAGAGTGGGTTCGAGTCTTCCATCCTTGGGTTCCAGGGATCGAACTCAGGTTGTAGGACTTGCGGAGCAAGCATCCTCACCCGCAGAGCCATCTTACAGGAGGATTTCCATTTTATTTTGTTTTTAATACTCTTCATATTTCCGTCTCTCTTCAAAACAGTAGCACCTGTACCTTCTGAACTCGCCACAAGTCTAGAAGGACCCCTTTGAAAAGGGTCCTGGGTACAATGCCTTGGTGCATGATCCAGCCTGCTCGGTTGCCTTCCTACAACGCTTGAGCGAATCCCCACCCCTGTCTTTCTCATTGGCTCCAGTTTAACAATCCTGCAAACTCCTATCCCAGATCTTCCCGGGTGCAGGCGTTTCCGCCACAGGCACGTACAGTCGGACTGCAGGCAGACTTTGCGGTTTCCCTAACTCAGGTCTTAGTCTCTCCAAGAAGCTGCAGGGACCGCGAGGCGATTCTGGACTCCCTAACTTCCTGAGTGCAGAACTCAAGGATCACCAAGCAGCGGTATATGTTCGTCCGGGTAGGGGAGACCTCCCACGCTCACTTGCTCAATGAGGATCTAGATGCTCAGCGGGAAGAAAGAACCGGTCCGACGAGGGAAGAGGGAAAGAAGAGGGATCAAAAATATTAGTGTGTCTACTTACAGAAGCTTACAGAAACTCCTTCCCTGGGAGGCCGCTCTGAATGCTCAGCTTAGCGCCCAACAGTTGACTTTTGCTGGACTGTCGGAGAGGGCGGGGCTTCTCCAGGGAGGAGCAGCTTCAGCCTAGAGCTAGCGTCACAGCATGGCAGGGAAGGGACATAAGGAGGGGTTTGTGTGAGTAGGTGTCTCCCTGTGTTCTAAATAAAAAAAAAAAATCCTGAAGAACTCAATTTACGTTCACAAGATCAGAATCAAAGAAATCAATAAATTACCTGTTACTTCAGGCAATATCCTGCCATCTCTGGCCAACATTAAGCTAACTGATGCTGCTGTAACTATTTCCCGTCCCTGGGAGAGGCAGGTGCTAGGTTCTTTGAAGCCTTAACAGAGAAAGTGAGCAGTCGTGGCATCTAAAACTATTTTGTAAAGAATGAGTTAAGAGGGAGATGCAGCCGGCACTGCTTGCAGCCAGCAGCAGGAGGAGTCCCTGTGTGTGTGTGTGTGTGTGTGTGTGTGTGTGTGTGTGTGTCCCCATTCAGGAACCTCTGTATGGTAAAGTCCCTTCCTTGACAAGAGGGCAGAAGGCTCAGAGGAATCAGTAGAGAAAGTCAGGTAGTTTACCTGCTTCAGATTTAAGTGGGACATTTAGAAAACTATGCCCTTGGGTGATTTTACAATCCCTAAAGCACATTGCTCAGAGAATGTAATTTACACCTAAGTTTAAAGATGGGGGAGAAGGGGGTCCGTGAGATTGCAAGCTGGCTTATTTTATCCTAAAGACAGTCCTTTGTAAATGAAATTTTAAGGAGGCTTCCTGGGGAACATTGTTCAGGTTTAGGGCAGAGGGGAGTGCTCAGACCATTCTTTTGTAAAACTCAAGTCGCAAGCATTCTCTATTCAATCTTGTTGGAGATGGTTTAGAACACCCACCATCTCTATAGGCAATCCTGACATTTTATGTTGAGGTTTCTGATCCCCAGATGTTTGAGTGAGCAGCTTCTTTCCCTTCTCCTGTTCCTCTTACTTCCCATCTTTGGGTCTCACCTTAGTACAAGCTTGTTGTACAAAGAGGGCTAGCTCTCAGTAACTCGTCTGACCTCTTTCCTGGCAAGCCACACTGAATCACCAAACCTTAATCTAATCTCCATACACCGTGTAATAGAGATAAGGGGACAGAGATGTTTTAACTTTGTAACCTCCTCGTTGCCCACCTCTTGGGTTCACAAATGTTCATTGCTATTTACTTTTCTCTCTCTTTCTGCAATGATTCATAAATACACTTACATGACTTTCCTCTTCCTCTCCTCTTCTTCCTCTTCTTCCTCTCCTCCTCCTCTTCTTCTTCTTCCTCTTCTTCTTCTTCTTCATGGTTTTTCGAGACAGGGTTTCTCTGTGTAACAGTCCTAGCTGTCCTGGAACTTGCTCTTGTAGACCAGGCTGACCTCGAACTCACAGAGATCCACCTGCTTCTGTCTCCCCAGTGCTGGGATCAACTGTGTGCACCGCCACAGCTCGGCTGGATTTTCCTCTTTTTAATTAAATTAGACTCGCTCTGTTTCTTTATTTACTTATTTGTTCATTTGTGCTGAGGACTGAGCCCCAGACCTCACACATGTTAAACTTGAACTCTTCCTCTGAGCTGTGCCCCCAGCCTCAGGGTCTTGATAAAGGTGATAATTTGTGCCTTTTTTCTGATGTAACATCACAGTCACCTTCCAAATAGACAGATTCAGATATAGTTTAATATTTTTTGGCATTATTCCATAATTACTCAGTGCTGGGGTTGTTTCTACTGGAGTTCTGTTCCATGCCTATCTACAGTGCGATACTATACCCTTTTATCTGCAATACAATAATATACCCTTTTATAAAGAACTACATTATATTCTTTTTTTTATACCAGCAGTATTTATTGCTATTCATAAGTGATCAAAAGACAAACAAGGCTCATTATTATAAGCACATGTATGAAATATCACTTGGTGACAAAGTGAAAGAGACAGATATGTATTTATATAAAAAAAATACACACACACACACTCTCTCAAGTGTCTGCCACATGGCGCTATGCAGGTGAAGTGTCAGGCTATACAGTCCTGATATACACAACACATTAAGAATCAAGCGTAAAAGCCATACTTAAGGGCTGGAGAGATGGCTCAGTGGTTAAGAGCATTGCCTGTTCTTCCAAAGGTCCTGAGTTCAATTCCCAGCAACCACATGGTGGCTCACAACCAACTGTAATGAGGTCAGGTGCCCTCTTCTGGCCTTCAGGCATACACTCAGACAGAATTATGAATACATAATAAACAGACAAATAAATAAATATTTTTTAAAAACCATACTTAAAGTTGCAAAAATAAAGTTTCCTTTTCTTCAAGCATTTTGATCTGGGCTCACGCAAAGCAAACAATGAGCAGCGATGATTTTCATAGGATCCTACACGCGCTGAAACTATCGATAGACAAAGGTCCACAAACAAAACAAAAACGGAGTTACAGGAATGAATAATGCATTTCATTCAGAGTCTAACAGTCTGTTTCATCCCAGCTCTGGGACATTTAGAATCATAATTTGCATTACTTGAAGAGCAAGGTGAACCAGAACGAAACGATCAACTCAAAGTCATGACTGCAAACAAGGCATCCTCAGTCTCTCTGACAGTTCCCCTAGTGCAACAGCATCATTTACCTGAAGGATCATGAGTCACAGTTAAGGAGTACCCATACAAAACTATTTCCTTTATTCTTGAAAAGTGACACATACTATACTTTTCATTAAAAAAAAAATACACAGCACATAAACTAATGAAAGACAGTCTGTCTCCATCTCTTGTCGATGAGGAAAGGCCAGAGCGAGTCTTTGATTCCAATTCAAAATGGCGTCCGCTGGCCGTTGCCCAAAGTCTCCAGTTTGGAGCAGTCGAGCTGAGCATTTTTGGGGCGTTGTGCTCCTATGACGGGGCTCTCAGTAATAGGTCATAAGTGACTGCTCGGGAAGTTGAAGGCATCTGCAATCGCACATGCCGGTTTCGTACTTGGTCATCTGCTCATTGCCAGACCAGTGAAAGGCTCCCCTTATGGATGGATCCAGCATCCTCTTCTCTGCCAGCGGCCGGCACACACTGGCTATATCCTTTGCGTGTGTGGGCGACTTCTGCTGCCAGTGGTCCATGTTGGCTGACTTGTGGCCGAACTGTACCTTGTCGAACCTAACAGTCATAGCATTTTCTTCAAACTTTTCAACTTCCCATACAGAACAGGAATTCTCAAAGCAGCAGACCCTAAGTTGTTCTCCAGGACTGCCTTTTCTCCATCTAATTTTGTTTTGCCGTAGAGATGATTCAAGGGATTTGGTATATCTCCTTCTGTGTAAGGCAGATTTTTGCCATCGAACACATGATCTGAGCTAATGTAGATGAGAAATGCTCCAGTAGCAGCTGAAAATCAAGAGTGAGGTGATGGACTGCTTCCGAATCCAACAGGTTCGCCTGTTCAGATTTTGGTCTTGCTCTTCGAAAGCCACAGTCAACAGAGAGCCAGTTACTTTGTTGAGATTCTTTGTAAACTGCTCTGCCAAGAAGCCCTGAGGCGCCTGTAACTAGAACCTGCCCGGTAGGGATGTTTACTTCCTCCTCCACCAGCAGGCAGCTGTCGGGACAAAGTGCATAGAGAGCTCCTTCTCTGGGCCCACCATGCATGCTGCCTTTGCGCAGTTGCTACCGCGACCGCAGCCACCTCCAGCGCAGCACAGCCCTGGGCCACAGCGCCCACGCCCTTGGCTCTCCTCCCCGTTAGGAACTACATTATATTCTAATGCCTTTATCTCTCCATAGACTAATTTAAAAATGTGGCATTGATTTATTTTTATATATATTATTACATATAAGTGCTTTAACCTACCTGAAAGTATGTATAACACATGTGTGCCTGGTACGGGCAAGCAGTCAGAGGAGCGGAGCATGTTGAATCTCCTGGACCTGGAGTCAGGGATCGTAGTGAGCTACCATGTGAGTGCTGGGAACTAAACCCCGGTTACCTGGAAGGGCAGCTAGTGGTCCTAACCACTGAACCATTCATCTCTCAAGCACCTTAAGAAGAGACTTTTGATATAATGCTTGGGTAGAGTGACAATGTTGTAGTCAAACACTTTGACCTTAAGAAATAACAATTTCCTAAGGTTAACCCTTTGAGGTTGCCACACTGCCTTCCAAAAAAATGTCATGTCTGTATCTCTCTGGCCCATCTGAGAGGTCCTGTCAAAACTAAAGCGGGCACCAGGATCAGTGGTGTTATTTAGCCTTCTGTCAGTCAGCAGGGAAACCAGCTCACGCCTTGGGTCATCCAACCAATCGTTATGTTTCTGGGCAGGAGAAATCTTCTCCTGCCTGCAAGGCTTTGAAGCCACTGAAGCTCAGAGTGGAAGGTGCAGAACCCCGCAGGGAGGCTGCGTGAACTAGATCTCCGGTCAGCTGTGCAGGTTTATCAGCTTCCTAGCAAGAGCGCTCTGTTGACCTCAGAACTTTTCAAAAGAATGTGGGCGGAATGGAGAGAGTGTGTGGCAGTTTACCAGGGCTGCCACAACAAAACCCATGGGTTAGAGGATTTCAGAAGCAAAAGTGTCGTTTCACGAATGCGGGTGGACTGGCCAGCTGCTGGGGAAATGGCTTAGTTGGTAAAGTTGGGAAGACATCAGACCTGAGTCTGATTTTGAAAATCCATATTTAAAAACAATTTTTTTTAAGGCTGGGCATAGTGGTGGTGGCACACACCTTTAATTCCAGCACTCAGGAGGCAGAGGCAGGTAGATCTCTGTGAGTTCCAGGCCAGCCTGATCCATAGTGAGTTTGAGGCCCGTCGAGAAAAATAAATAAATAAAAAATAAAAGAGCCTAGCACAGTGGAGCGTTTTTTGTAATTCCAGCAGTGAGGAGACCGAGACAGGCAGGTCCCTGGGGCTCACAGGTCAGCCAGCCTAGCTGACTCACAAGCTCCAGGCCCATAAGAGACCCCATGTCAAACAGCAGAATAGATGGCTCCTGAGGAAAGGGGTCCGAGGTTGGAAGTGTATGCCACACACACCAAGCGTTGTATTACAAACAACAAGAAACATG